CTTATTGTTAAAGTCATACCTGTCTTTAATCTCACTACATTGTGCAATTTCATTTTCTTCATTTGCCCACGGTCTAAAGAACGTCATATTTATATTTATTAAAAGAAATTTAAATTAAACCAACCACACATACAAAACACACCGCACGACAGTACTCCACTGATATCGCTGACTGTCTTCCAGGAATATTTTCGAACACTCCTCCCCTTCGTAAACCTTCGGCCAATACAGTGCATTTAAGTTTACGATTCGATGTTTTCATTGGTTAACAACGGAGATGATGGATTTTGACACATATATATCAAGTACACGTTGACTGACCGTTACTTTAATATTTACCGCATTGTATAAGGGGCGAGTAAACATTATTTTTCGTTTCTAAATTTGGCATGAGTACCGTGCGTATATATTAAATATTGATGATTCCCCACATAACTGTGTTCTGCAATTGATATTGGAAGGACTATAGTAGTATCAGTACAGAAACGAAGTGAATTATAGGCAATCTTTAAAAATTAAAATATTACAAACTCAAATGCGACGAGGACGTAAAATTATGAAAATATAATAATATAATAATACTCTCCCTAATTCACCCCCTTACGAGTGAATTTCAACCCCTGAAGTTGACTGAACGACTTGTGTAAGGGAAGGGACGGCTATTATTATTATTTACCGTGGCGCTTCGGGGCGACTTAAAGATGCTTGATGATGCCATTTGACTTACAGGTGAGGAAAACACGAAAAGCCTCAACCACCATCAAGCCATATATCACAACATATTACGAGCGACCGTTTCCCTCCGGAAAACAACTACTCCTTTGGCTAATACTATAATAGGCATTGAATTATTTCTAACGAAAAACCGTAGAGACAGAACATTTTTCTACATGCTAAATTTGATTTCTACAAAAATGAGCCACAACAGATCCTTTGGGGGAGTTGCTGTAGAAGAAAATTAAATTGTCATAATTAAAAATACAACCTAATCTACAATAAACAACTTTTTTGTTTTCAATATCTTTAAAATGGTATTAAATGTACTTTATAAAACTATATATTTTTTCAACGATCACGAATGATGCTTACAAGTTAAAATTATAATTTTTATAGCATAAAATTTCAAAGGGCAATAAAACTTAATAAAATATTAACGCTACTGAAAAGATAATGTCTACACTAATTTAATTCAAGGTCCAAGGATGTAATCGTTGTGTAAGTGCAACTTCTACAACCAAGACTTTTTACGACTCTACGTCACTCTTATTTCACTAATTTTATAGTGATATGACATGCACCGATGCTGTCATTACTGCACTTGCATCAATTATTTAAATTAATTATTATATTTATGGGTGTGTAAGCATGTACTTAAGTATGCGTACACTTTATTATATGGCCTGGTATTAATATACAGTGATTGGATTAAGTCTTACCCTCCTTATCAATTCGTTTATTTTACAGAGTAGAAAAAATACCTTGCAAACTTCGACTTTTAAACTCATCGAAGTAACTGACGGTATTAAAGTTTCGGTATTCCTGTAAACCCCCTTCAGGTGACAGCCAACCCCTCAATTTTATTAAATAGAATAGCAATGGCACTTCAGTGAAGGGGACATTTTATGGGGTATTCAGAAATAAGACTGTTCATTGTAGAACTTTTAATTATATCGCTTTCCATCTGGATAAATAACTGTCTATACTAACGTTTCAAAGGCTGTTGACAGGATTAACCATACTCTCTTACTTCAAAAGCTTAACAAATATTATTGTATTACTGTAATGGATCTTACTAATATAACTCAAATGGTTAGAGCTAATCACCATTAAAACTTATTTCAAGTAACATCAGGTGTTCCTCAGGGGTCGGATCTAGGACCCTTACTATTTAACTTAATAAATGAGTTTCCGTAACAGCAAAGATTTATTATTTGCAGATGACTTAAACATTTTCCAAATTATTAAAAACCATGATAATATGTGTAAATTTCAGTCTAGCCTCGATAATTTATTAGAATGGTGATCTTTAAATGACTTGTACTTGAATGCTAATAAATGCCATATCATGCGTTTTTATCTTTCCCTTCTACATTTGACTATAACTTAAACGGGAATATATTAGAATCTGTTTATTAAATTACCTTTTAAGCTTTAATTAACACATATCTGTTTGTTGGGTTTTATCAAAAGGTTGACCCATGATTTTACTGACACAACTGCAATTAACGTTCTTTATTGTCCGCTAGTCAGACCTCACCTTAAATATTGCTCTTCCGTTTGATCTCCACAATATATTATAACATATAGACAGTGTTCAGTACAACTTTCTTAGATATATATAGCTTCTAAATTGGGTGTTTGTGAATATGATTTCATGGAATAGTTTCTGAACATTCCTTCTTGTAAACTAGGCGAAAACAGAGAGACCTGACTTTGCTACTCGTATAAGTAGTAGATGTAATTGTCGTAAACTTCTTAAAAAAATAAACCTGGTTGAAACTCGTTCAATTAGGCAACTAAAAACATTTTATGTAGTTTTTTTACAGATCAAACCAAGCTTTTAACAACTACATTCCAAGAATGCTTAGATTAGCTAACTTGCTCAATGATCTTGCTCTGCTCAATGTTCTCTTTTCATCATTCAAAACTCAGTTACTTAATACTCAGCTTTAATGTTAATGTTTTACTGTGTATTTTCTCATTTTTAACCTTCGACTAACCTATTTTGTATGACATGTATAATGTATTTGTTTGAGCTACAGCACCATAAATATTTGTGATATTTTATTTTAAAAATTGTAATTTGTAATTGAAATGGGCTTTCCCGTAAATAAATAAATATATAAATAAACATATTTGGAGTAAATAATAATCTAAAAGCTTTTAAAAATATTTGTGTGATTTATAGTAACATAATTTATTTCAAGAGTCTAAAAAATATGGCAAGAACGTATTAACAGTTGGAAGTATTGGGCATGTGCAAAACTACGTAGACATAAAGTAGATTACTTTCCTTTCGGGAGTTTGACGTTTGTAAAATTTAAAAGTTTTTAATTGTGATTTCCATGTCTTGAACTATAAAATGGAATATGATATGCTTAATTTAGTTAATTTAGAACTGTTTAGGTACCTAAAAAATTATTTTTAACAGTTAGAAACTGAGTATTTAAGCGAATTAGTTCTGTGTGAGTTAAAAGTAAATTAACATAGACAAAAACAGGTTAGTTTCAATTATAAATACAACCAATTTTAATTTGTTGCAGTAAATTTAACAATTATTTTGAAATTAGGGTATTAACATAGTTTAATAAAAGTTGTTAGATTATATTTAGTTGTCAGTTTAAAAAAAAATGGAGTTTTATAAAAAAAAAACAAAAGCGAAGAAGCCGTTTAATCAGTATAAAACTTAATAATTGGTTAGGATCGCGAGCTCTTAATGGCTGAAATTACAAAATTTTGAAAATAAAATAAATAATCGCTTTAGAAACGATATGCTCTTTTTATTAATGTCAAAATGACAAATTAGCATTTGGCGTAGCTTTACAAGAAAAAAATGATCATACTAGATATACTGTGAACTCACTTTCTCTTACATGTCTAATGATAGCCACTGATATAAACTAGCTACATTTTTCCAAAGATGTTATTTTCATACGACTTTGCTTACGAGTCTAAGTGATAAAAAAAATATATGTCAAATTTCAAGAAGATTCGATAGTAGTTGCACACATTGATCATTTTTTTCACAAACTGGTGAAATTTTTAATATTGACTTGTTTCGTACTAGCGATCTTTGATCTTTACATGTATATCTTTCATCTTTTGCAGGTAATTGAGCTTTAAAATGGGAACCAAAAGAGGAATTTGGTTGTTAGAAAAGGTGCCTTGTAGCTCGGCTCCTTTCAAAAGAACAAGTACTATTTGTTTTTATTTACCATAATAAGTTTATGAAAGAAACACTATCGGAAACTGCTAAATCTACCAGTACTACTCTACAGGAAGTGTGGAGGAAAGCAGGTAAGCATGTTAAGAAAAAGGAGAATATACGCGCTGGTATACAGAAGCTATACAAAGAGTTCCAAAATCTAGGTAAAGAGAAATCTAGAAACACCGATAAAGCTAACATGAAACAGCAGATTTGGAAAGGTGATCTTTTCTAGGTATTTGAGATATCCCAGCAAAATGTGATGATAATGACAAGCTTATCGGAAGATGATAAAGCATTTCTTAGATCACAGAGAGAAGACCGAATGGAGTAGACAAGGTTTTCGTCTCCTAAATAAGAACTAAATGTACAAAAGAAAACAAAAATGATTCATATAAGAATAAACATTACAAAGCTATAGCTCAAATTAATAAGACAGTAATACTGCAAAGACTCCTCTTTATCATCATCCGTACTTAGTGATGAATTTTTGCCTCCAGCAAAGAAAAAATTACGTTCAAGTCCTAGATTAAAACCTTTGGATCAAACACTCACGTCCACTTGGGATCGAGAACAACTCTCTGTTAGGCAAGCAAGTACCTCTTTTATATCAACTGAAAGAGCCGTGGACACGATGTTTCAAAAATGTTGGTCAATTTGGATGATCAATAGAAGAAAAATGACAAAGAAAATCGAGAAGACGTTTTTCGAAAATCCTTTTCCTTTGATCTTGCATTGGAATAGTAAATTGTTGCCCTCAGTTGCTCATGGGAAGTAGGGAATGTCAAAACTTTGGAATATAGAGTTGCAATTGTAGTGACTGGCAACGATTTTGAGCATTTGCGGGAGTGCACCGATTTGGGCTATGTGCAAGATGTCTTTTAATACTACATCGTCTAATACAGGACTGATCCAAGTGGCATGTACCAGAATTGAAAGGGAATTAGGACGAACATTGTTGTGATTGGCTTGCCGTCATCACACTCATAAACTAATATTAAAAGAAGTATTTGACGAGTGTTGTAACATACCATCAAGTGGTCCTGACATCCAAATCTTTCGAAAGTTCCAAAATATGTGGACTTCACTTGATAAAAAGTCATATACGACATTGCTGGATGAAGAATGTCCCGTTCAAGGCTTTATAGAAGAACTACGAGTGAAAATGATTAACTTCTTACACAATGCCCTCAAAGATGGAAGTCATCCAAGAGAAAACTATAAAGAAATATTACAACTAGCACTTTTGTACCTAGGAGGTTGTTCTCAAGACGAATTCAGTTTCAGGATCCCAGGAGCTCTGCATCAAGTAATGGTAAAAGCAATTTATCCACTTAAAATTGTTCTCTTCACTAAACAGTTGAATATGCCTCAACGAGAATTGAAAGGAACGAAAAGGGTTGCACATTCTGTCAGCCTTACATATGTTTGCTTTTGACACAAAGCAATTGTAAGTCAATGGGCTCCAAAAAATGATTTGGATATGCTGCAGCTTCTGAATATGTACCCAGATATAAACGTCAAAAAAAAGTGCTCTTACTGTTGCTAAGAGACACCTGTGGTATTTATCAGAAACAAACGTAGGATTAGTTTTTCTGGATGAACATTGAGAAACCAAACCTCCAAACAAAAAGGAAATGAAACAATTAGACGGTAAAAATTTAATTTTTGAAGGAAAATACCTAAGTCATTTCATCACTAGTAAAACAAAAATGTTCTTTGAATTGTTTGGGATCCATAACGTGACAGAATATTGCAGTTATTTTCTAAGAAGTCCAGTAGACGCTCTTAAGGTAGTGAATGATACCGCAAAAATAAAATTTGCTCTAATAAAGAAATTTAACGGATCAGTCAGAGATGAACAACAAAAACAATTTTTACTGAGGGTAGTGGAGTATCACAGAAAAGTCGTTACCAAACGAACTAAACAAGGGATTGCATCGTTCATAGTCGAATAATATAAGACAAGTTTTTGCTATCTATTACCTAATATTCTTAATGATATTATCTAATAATCTTAATGTGTAGTTTAAAGTTTGAGATTTATAGTTTTAACAATAAAAGTAATTAACATTGAAAAGTCGTATTTTTTGGATACTTTTACAAAACTGGTCAAAACCTCTAAATATTGTCCAATCTTCTTAAAATTTTGCATACATGTTGGCGGCGCCAAAGTTTGACTTATTAGTAGTCGGTATTTCAATAAGATAAGTTGTAAGCTTCTACTTGATTTTTATAAGCGATGAATTAGCAAAAATGATATACACTTGCCATTCATAGTGAAGGGCAAGGGGGGCGGAACGGAGCCAGCAGGATGTTGATAGAAAATAAGGAATGAGAATAGATTAGAGAAGTGTGATTGATCTGGCGGTGGTACGCTGGCTCCGGATCGCTAGTATCATTTCTTTAATTGAATAATAATTGATATCGTAATATTTTCCGTATTTCTTTAATAATTATTTGTGTAACGTCGTATAAAGTGTTGTTAACATTGTTTATTGTTCTATATAGCATTAACAAGTTTTACATCTTTTACATCACTGACACGTAAGCAAAGTCTGGTAAAATTTTACATTTAATTGTTTTACTTAAAAAATGAAACACCTTAAACTACATACTTCTTTTTTATCAAAAAATATGTACTTACTTTAGACTTGGAGTTCTCTTTGTCTTTAGTTATGTTCATTTTCACATACTGTGTGTATAAATGAACCAATAAATATAAAAATAAATAAACCTTCATGTAACAAAGTCGAACACCAATCTCTTAAAAGTTTCTTACTTTGTCTACGTTACCTTATACAAACATGTCTTCTTTTATAGTTTTTCGATAACGATAATATACGAAAGAGTGCTTTGTCGTAAAATTTTAGTCGACCTAAGCCCTCGCTCCGGACGATCCGGGGGTAAAACATAACGAAACAGGGAGCATATTACTAAGTCCTCTATATTCACACTTCGTAGAGTAAATGGGGCACGTAATATCATAATCGGGGAATATCCCATGATGTGGACAGAAATCGAAACCTAAAAATGAAGCGATGTCGCCCGTTGAAAATCTGAACAGTTGTTGCGGAGTCAAGAAAAGAGTTTAAGGCCGAAGTTAAGTTTAAATTCTGACCTTTATAGCTCAATCGAAAATAGAATGTTGCTTCAGTACGTGAGAATAGTTATACAGATTGAACTAGCAAAAACGCTTTAAGAAAAACGAACAAAAATTGTGAATATTAAGTTTATATTGTAAATATTAAATTTATATTTTAAATGTTAAGTAAATATTGTAAATATTAAGTTTATATGTAAATATTAATCCATTATTCAAATTGTACTTAAATACGAATAGGCGTACTATAAGTCTTTGTAAAATTTTAAATGGAAACAAAACAAATTAAGATATAAAGTAAACAACAACAAAATTATATATATATATACATGTCTTTAATAATCATATAAATCCGATCCTATAAAACCTAAGAATAAAGACAAAGATATAAAAATTTTCAAAATTAAAAGGTGAAAATGTATTTTGGGGATATACAATTATATACAATTTTTACAAGATATAGTACAAGTTTTGTTTTGATTAGTTTTTATCTGCGTTTTCAATTGAAAAAACTAATGTATCTTTCGAATTGGGGCTTGGCTCCAACTATACTATCTAAATTTTAATTTTCACCTGTCGAATCTATTTTTAATTAAAATAAATTTGATTAATTAGTTAAACTTATTGTAATGCGAGCCATTTTATTATTTAGTCATGCTCTAATCCTCCAAGTCCCTCTCTGTCCTATTTGGCCTTTGATACTCAATTTGTCCGATTATCATACATAATTAAATGATGATTCATCTCCTGCTATAATTTCTTCAATTCCTTCCGATATGGAAAGTAAAATTTCTTTCTTAAAAAACCGAAATGTCTTCTGATATGTCAACATTTCTTCTAACATTTTCTCCTTAGAAAGTAAAGTTTCGTCTGATATGTCTTCCGTAAAAACGAAATCTATTCTTTAGAAACTAAAGTTTCTTCTGATATATTCTCTTAAGATGAAATTTGTTCTGACTTGGAAAAAAATGTCTTCTATAAAAACTGAAATGATTGCGTCACGAAAAGAAAACTCTTGGCAGTTGTGAAATGCGTGGAACACTTCTACCAATACCTATATGGAAGAAAATTCTTAATCCATACCGATCATACAGCTCTTAAGAGGTTGATGCAGTTCAAAAATCCGGAGGGACAAATCGCCAGATGGATTAAACGACTTTAAGAGTACGACTTTAAGATCGAACATAGAGGCGGAATTAGCGACAGAAATGCAGATTCTCTCTCTAGAATACCGTCTAGAAGTCTACGCCATTCCAAATCAAGAGGCCGCAACTGTTGCAGATGTATTTATAAAAGAGTTTATCTGTCGGTTTGGAGTGCCCTCGGAGATCCATAGTAACCAAGGCAGAAATTTTAAAAGCGAAATCTTCCGTGAAATATGTGACAGATTAGGCATGAAGAAAACCAAAACCACAGCATCGCATCCACAATCCGATGAAATGGTAGAGCAAATGTATAAGACTACTGGCAAATACCTGTCAAAAGTAGTTTCCGACCATCAGCGAGATTGGGATGAGTATCTTTCGCTCTTCGCAATGGCATATAGATCCGCTGTCAATGAATCTACAGGCCAAACACCAGCAAAGTTGCTGTTCGGCCGTGAGTTAAGACTACCGTGTGACCTCGAGTTTGTATGCCGACCTGGGGAAGACATAGTGAAGATTATGTGATCCAACTGCGACGAAATATGGACGACATGCATGAGTTAGTTTGCTCGCATCTTCAAATCACCAGCGACAGAATGAAGAAACGATACGATACCCAAGCCACAGAAGGATGTTTCAAGGAAGGCGACAAAGTCTGACTCTATAACCCAAAAAGACTAAAAGGTTATTCTCCAAAGCTTTAAAGGTCTTGGGAAGGTCCGTATCGAATCAAAAAAAAAAAAAATATGTCACCTACCGTAGAAGTAAGATCCCGAACGGTAAACCGAAGGTAGTGCACCAAAACCGGCTGACGCCATTTGAGGGTGACTATGACGAGGAAGAAGAATTAAACCAACTCCAAGAAACACCTGACCTTGTCTTTGAAGAATTTATGGGTGCATATCGAGGTACCGGAAAAGCAAGACATGGTATTAAAACTAAACAACAACAAGATCTGCTCTAACTTCCAAAAGACTACTCGCTGATCCATCGTACTTCCGCCAGTATCAACGCCGTTTTTGTTTCGTAAGAGTTCCAGGAGGAACTATCTTTTAAGGAGGAGACAATGTAATGCATGCCATTTCATTATTCAGTCATGCTCTTATCCTCCAATTCCCTCTCTGTCTTAGTTGGCCTTTGAGGCTTGACTTGTCCGATTATCATCCATAATTAAACCCCCTTAACTATGGCGAAGGCCCTGTTGATTACTTTTCAGAACAAACGTGATAATGTTTCTAGTTTTGGCGAGAGGATTCTAGATATCAACCAGAAATTTCAATGTGTATATAAATATTGGTGGAGGAACACGGACAGTCAGCGGTATACTAATAGTTGTAAAGACATTCGAAAAATATATAAATTAGAATAGTATTGTTATAAAATAAATAGGTGTTTTAATAAATTATTAACAAATAAACTGTTGTTTAAAATAAATAAACGCTACATTATTTATAAATAAAAGACAATATTATATTGCAAAAAAATTAATGTTACTGTTTTCTATTTTTATACACTGTGTATAAAGACAACAGAGTCCTCTTTTTAGAAACCTTGAACACCTAATGACAAAGTATCATGAATGCTAATTCACTTTTGGGCACCCAATATACCGCTAAATCTAAAGAAAGAACCAACATCTTCAACAAGTCTGCAACATCTGTTAAAGCTTTAGAGGCTCTTATGAACGTAATTTTTCAAATCTGCTTTTATTTGAAATTTTTAAGTGTTGATGCCAATAGTATCTAACTTAACATCGACCGATCAGTATGAAATCTGCATTTTCGGTATTAATAATTACCATTATATAAGTTGAAAACCTTAAAGCCTCAATATTCCCAACCTTTTATTTTAAAAAATAGCCCTCCAAACTCTATACCTTTTAATGATTATTTAAAAATAGTTTTAACCTTTGAACCTTTTTATCTTACATCTCACATCTAAGAATTCCAGCCTATTAATTACTTAAAAATAACCCTTACCCCTCTTATTTCACACCTAATAAACCGAATGCCCAAATGGCGTACATCTATGAGCTATATCTAAACCGGATGTAGTTGGGTTGCCCAAGGTAAGGGTATATAACAGGTCTGTTCCAATAACGATCCGAAACCAGTCATTGACTCCAGGATTCTGTGCAGTAGATTATTATTTAGACCGGTACATTCATACTGCGCACAATCCTGGTGTCAG